GGTGGAACAACTGGGAGAGCCAATGAAACTCAAACGATTAACATGTGCCTGCAGAGGCCCATGGGAGGCAGGCTTTTCTCAGCCTGATCTGGTGTTTCTCCTAGCTTGTTTCTGCTCCTCCTGCATGCCTGTGCTGTCATTTCAGTGGCAGGACTTTGAGCCTCGGCAGGTGCCCATAGGATCTACATGGTTGGAAGAAAATGCTGAAATGCCAGAAGTCTTCAGCTGTACAACTAAATTTCAATATTGTTTGTAGTGTCCCGTTACAATTTCCTAGTGCTGTCCTTGTGTTTGATAGAGCATGGTACTCAGGGAAAACTAATGCTGTACTTCCAAAACACTTAGGAATCCTAGCCAGTAGTGTAGCATGAAGCAAACTGGCGACAGAGCCCATCAGGAAGGATGTGCACTTTAGTTTCTAGCCATCCTGGAGTGTTCCTTCACCCACAGCAGCACCCCTGTTCAGACAGGATGACAAGCTATGAAGGAGTGCAAAACACCAATGCCAGATCACAAAATACCAACAAACCTTTTTCTTCTCAGCTCTCCTTCAGAGAATCTTTCATAACACAAGCAAAAGCAATCAACTGTATATAATTGCGAACACCCTCTTCCTAAGAAACAGGAGTAAAACCCACCCTTGTTTCCCAGCCACCAGCCAGCTTCTCTCTTACACACACAGGCAACCCTGCCTAGGGAGGGAGTGGTGAGGAGGGAGAGCAGGAAGGACTGGAAACAGTTCTGACAGACCACTCCTGAAAGCTGGCGGCAACAGCAGTGGGGGCAAAGTCAGGAACTGGTGACATGACATTGGTGTGCCCAGCTGTGGGGACAAAAGGGTCTGTTAGGTGATCTCACTGCCTTTGTGAATCTTGAGGGCTTCTAAGCTCACCATCAGTGCTATGTAAACTCCACTGAGGGCATGGAGGGTGGGCGGCAGCATGGAAGAATTTGAGGAAGAGGTGGTGCAAGCCATGATGACACATCCCTTCTCCCCTCTACACTGCCACCAGGATATCTCCTAAAAAAAGAACCTTGAAGAAATAAGGATAAGATATACATTATTTTTGGGGAAAAAAAAAAATATGAGCCTGAATTTTTATGAAGAGTCATAGCAGCTCGATCTGCACAGTGAAGAAACTGTGAGACATAGTAATGGAAATAGTGTATTTGTTGTGCCTCACCTCCTTTGTACTCTGCAGGACTGCTCTGGACCACAGATGCCTGGGGATGCTCCCAGGTACCCATCCAGCCTTCTGGATTTTGCCTGTCTTGTAAATGAGGTAAAAACGTTATTTCCCACAGGGTGGTGCTGCTGCATTGCCTGCTATGCCGACATGGGGAGTAGGTTGAGTTGGAGCTTCGGGAGTTAGAGAAAATGAAACACACATTTTTGAGAAATATATGGTTTTTTCAGGCAAAACTAGAACTGCACAGAGGGTGAACACACCGGTCAATTAATTCACACCCAACTATGAATACATCACTGAAGCAGATGCTAGCAGTGTAGGGGGGAAATAACTGAAAATAACAATTCAGGAAGTATCCATTTATGACTCAAAAGCACCTTCTAAAGTATATAGAAAATATTACTGAAATACACCAGAATAATCACTAAGAAGAAGGTATTATTTATTGAGGCAAACCCCACTAAGGACTTTGCTATGCTGACCATGAAGTAGTATTACAGTTTAAGTTAAAAAAGCTCTTCTCACATAAATTTGTAACACTTTACAAAGCAATAATGTTTGGCAATATAAAATACATTCACCATATAGTAACACAGCCTTCGTCTTTCAGGAGTTAAATTATTATCCAAGCTGATAGGAATGTAGCAGGAATACTTTTTCTGAAAAAAGAGTCATTTTTCAACAGAAGGTACTTGACTTTTCCAATGTTCTTTTCACACAACTTTCCAAGGTACAATTTATTAAATGTTCCAGATTATCACTACAATATAAGTAATTTCAAAATAATTATTATTTCCCCATTTCAAACCTCATGGAATGGAGACACATGGGATAACTTCAGCCGCAGTAAGCAGTTTCACTTACTTACACTGAACTTCCATCCACTGCACAGAACAGAGCATAATCCCAGGTAGGATCCATCTGAGGTAGAATGAGATGTTACCCCCAGCCAAGTCCCACCACGCTGTCCTGGGGAGCCAGGCAGCAGTGCAGTGCTCCAGCCGAGCTCATATCCATCAATGCTTGTGTCCGTCAGGGCTGGTGGGAACATAGAATTACAGGATTGTTAAGGGTGGAAAAGACCCCTAAATCCTCAAACATGCAGTGTTCATCTGGCAGATTGTTCACAGCTAGCTCAGGTGTCTTGATTTATTCCCATAATAAGCCATGCCAGGAAATGTCCTCCATGGAGGACAGCCTGAATATTATGATCTCTGAAAAAAAAAAAAAATTGCCAGTACCATAAATCATTCTTTAAAACTATTGTGAGCCAGAGATTTCTGTAATGCATTGCCTGAAATATTTCACATGGCAGGATGAAGGTGATCTGTTCAGCCTGGGTTCTGCGGAGCAGGAGCTAGAAGTTTGGCCTGAGGCTTCACCAGCCTGGATTGTATTCCCATTTCTTCCACTTGCAGGTCATTTCCTGCTATGCTTCTTTCCTTCTGTTTCTTAGTGGGAGCATTCATGACAGGGCTGATATTTCACAGTGTGCTTTATACACAGAAGTCTTTATTGCAGTATATAAGCTTTTCTCCATTGACTTAAGTCAGAGCAGAAACAATACTGGAAAGCCCTGAAAGAATTTTACCATTTTCTATAAAAGGTCTGTGGATAAAACCAGTTGAATGTTTGCTACTAAATAAGATATTTGAAACAATAGGTAGTGCTTAAAAACATAAAGGGAAAAGCATATGAAAAAAAATCTTGAAATAATAAGAAAATGCTAATAATGTATTACACACTATAATATACTATGATAAAAATGCATATAGCATTATTCCAACAGACTTTTACAATATGCAGTTCCATAATGTGTTGTGATGTAATAACAAAGTAATTTTTGTAAATTTATTTACAGTAGTAATTTATAACTTGTTCCAAAAAATTGTATTTTTGATTGACCACACTATTCCCTACCTTTTAAAATATTAAAATATTGTATTAAGATCTCAGACATTATCTTCATCAGTACTGAATAATAAAACCAATTAATTTTTTTCCAAATGTGCATATTTTTCCTAACTCATTAAGAAACACCCATGGATAATTTTTTTTCTTTTTTTACGAATATATGTTAAAAACTCTGGGGCCCAAGAGTCAATTTTCATGCTGAACTGAAGAAAAGTTATGTCATTGGCTTTAAGAAGATTTTGCACTGCTCTTGCTTATTCTGTAGTCTATGCACATAGATCATGCTACTGGCTCTGACTACATTCCTGAAGCAGAACAGCAAGAAAGGCTTCATTTAAACACAAACAATTTTAATATGTCATATTTGAAATACACTTGGATAATAAAATGATTTGATACACATGCTATTCATATATATGTGTGTGTGTATATATATATAAATACATTATACTCCTATGGCTGTACTCTTGATCAAATTGATAAACATCAGTCTATGTTGCTTTCACTTCCAAGGCACAGAGTGGAAAAGGACACCATGAGAAGCCATTGACTAACAAAACTACTAGTTCAGTGTAAATTAACATTATTTGGACTCTGATCAATTTGTTAATGAACAGAATATGGCTTGATACAGCATTAAAACACTGAAACTATTTGCATTGTGGAATGTGAAGTTTTCCATTGCTAAAAATGTTTTCACTGTGGAAATGTAGAAAATCACAGTATTTATTGGACCATCACAACAGTAAGTTACTCCATAAGCTACATTCACTCCCTAGCTCCTGTGAAGCAGCCAACTGGAGTATATTCCTCACACAAGCAGCAGGAAACTGTCAGCAAGTCACAGCTCTTGTGTTCTGGCCACAAGGAAAAGTGACCTGGCAGCTCTTCAGATGGTACAAATGAGCAATTGGCACTACCTGAAGATGCAGCTTCTGGGTCTGAAAAAAGACAGACTTGCCACTGCAATACACAGAAACAATTCTGCCAGCATCCTCTCCATTATCAGCCCGTGGGGTGGGCAATCTCTCAGCTATCTGGTTGCATGGACTCTAAAATTCTCTAACGGGTGCTGATTTTACAAGAGGAAGAGGTTCTGTGTTTGAAAACACAAGAGCCTCTCTGGTCTCTTGGGCTGCCTTTGGGCTTCTTCCAACTAATGCAGTTAAAGCACATTTGTCTATCAGCATGCCTGTTCCCATGCCACAAATTTACTCCTCTTCACATAAGTAGAGCCACCACAGCACATTTTACACCCTTCAAGACAAGGATCAACTGAAAAATCATAAACAGAATGTCAGTGTTTAGAAGTTCAAATTTTAAAGGTATCCAGAAGAAAAAAAAAAAAAAAAAAAAAAAAAAGTAAAATTTGCTACAGAGTGTGTGTGAAAGCAGGTCTAAAATGGTATTTGAAATTAAATTGCAATGTATGTACAAAGTTCAGGCACATTGTAAAAATTAAATCTGCTCCAGAGATACTTTCAGCATAAATCAGTTTCCTGCCAGATTTTCTTAAAAAAAAAAAAGAAAAAAACGAAACCAAAACAAAACAAAAGCAAAACAAACATGATTTTGGCATTGGAAACACTCATTTGCAAAGAGTTTCATGCAAACTGATAAATGCAGAGTTTTTTTCATGGTGTGTGTAATTAGTCCATTGAAACATACTAGACCACAAAATGAAAACGTTTGGGTCATTAATAATATTGTTAAATGTAAATGTTATTGTTCAGTTTTGGTGACTGATCCCTGTGGAGTCAACAATGCATTTCAAATAAATCTGTGAACACTTTTATCTACACACTCTATTTTCAGTCTAGCTTTCTTCTATTACTGCATTAACTTGGTATTACTGTTGCTCTATGTAGATTTAAGCCAACTAAAACACAACAGAACAATCTAATTGAGAGAGGTCTTGTTTCACATGAGAAGTATCTTCAACAGTGTAACACCACTGAGCCACGTCTGCCTCAGGCTGTGCCCTACTGAATCTCAACAGCACTTGTCACCTGTTGCTGGAGCTGTTTTTATCCACAGCCAAAAATTCAACATCCCTTTGGTCTAATTCTGCTGTGACAGAATAAGCTATTGCTCCATTTGTCCAGATGTGCTGTTTCAAGGCTGTGTTACCAGTAAGGGATGGCAAATGTGTTCTTTTGATTTTCTTTGCTAGTCTTGCAAAGCACAATAGTGCTGAACTAAATATCATAGAAAATCCACACAGGAGAAATGATGCAGTATAGCTGCCAGTTGTGTCCACAAGCCAACCTGTAGGGAAAAAAAAAAAAGATTTTTAGAGGTCCACCAGTACTCTTGTGGATAATTTACAAATCCTGTTACCCAGTTATAAGCTTCTGGAGTTATCACATATAAATACAATCAAATAATACAGATTTACATCACCATCACTAAACTTTTACATTCTGGGGCAGAGAGGGATTTATTCTCAGCAGGCAAATAATATCTTTATGGCCTTTTGTTTGGAGGTCAAATCCACAAGAAAAGGCAGAGTAGTCATCACCACACTACTAAATAAACATCTTCCAATGGCCTGGATTTAACTGGCAGTCTTTAGAAGGCTTAGAGAGCTCTAAGATCTTCATGCAGAAACATTTATTAAGCTCTGGCCACACTCATGCTTCACTCAAAACAATTTTATTTGGCAATAATTGTTGCTATGGAAAACTAAATTAAAAGCTTAATGAGCAGTGATTAATTGGGAACTGATGTGAACATCAGACAAAATATGCAATATATATATATACTTTGTTGTTTGAAAAGATCTCAGACCTTCCACAGTATTAAAAACTGTGTCAAGTGCTTTCTAAAGAATAATAAGGGTACAGTTCTCATCCTTACTTCACTGTAATGGTATGGATGGGAAAAATGATGGTTAGATATTACAGGGATGAGTTCATGACCAAACAGGAGTGGAGCTGACTCACCCACCTGTTCAAAGCAATGTAGAGACTAAATACAAAAAGAAAACATAAAAAAAAGACAAACTTGGAATTAAACTCTCTTTAGAGAGTTTTAGATTTTACAAAATCATGTAATTTCACAGTGAAATCTTTTACTCCTTCTACTTGCACAGTTTCTAAACTACATGAGGTGGTGATGTAACAGCTCTTAGAAGCCCATTTCATAGTGGTGTGTTTTCTAAATTTCAACTCACTCTATATGTAGAAATCATCCCACTGAGACCAGGATGGAAGATCTAAAGACTTATGAACATCCAGGTGTGTTATTCCTTTACCTGGAGGCTGCCTTCACATTCACTGTGCATTTGCTATCCTTCCTCCCCCTTTACATCACAGCAATAGGAAAATATGAAGTACTGATAAGGTTATAGGAAAGTCATTTGACAAAACTGACCTGCCACAGGTGGGCTCACTAGGTATGGTATGGCATGAAGAAAATACACAACGCCCAGTGCTGATGACAACAAAGCAGTTCCCACTACATCTGCTGTCACAACAGGGATCAACGTTACATAGGCTCCATCAAAGTAGCCAAAGGTAAATGAGAAAGGCACAAGCAAGGGGAAGCTCTGGAGAACTGGCAGGAAAAGACAAGAGAGGCCATCCATTCCCACAGCAAAGAGGTAACAAAAGTACCGATGTTTCTTCAGGCACCTGCAAATTTCAAAGCAGAAAAGAAAAATATTATCACTGAAACCAGCATTTCAGCTTCTATGCCCTGGCATGCAGTGGTTCAGTCCCTCTCTCTCTCTCTGTCTCGTTTCTACAGCTCAAATTTAAGTCAATTGCCTTACACAAGTCTTCACTCAGCACATGAGCCCAGGTTGGGAAAGTTGCCCACCTACATCTGCAGAAACATCTGGCCAGCAGCAGCCGTGCTGCCTGCAGTGTTCTTCAGGATGTTCCTAGTGACAGAACCCTGCTGCCAGGATTTTGCAGTCCCCTAAAGTTTCAATGCTCAAAGCAATATTTCATCGAGCTTTACATCCCATCTCAGCAAGGTGCTCCCAGTACTATGCATAAAATATTGCAGTATACCTCTCTTAGCTGTCACCTATCCAGTCAGCCCTTAAATGTGAGTTAGTGTGAGTTGAGATGGCAATTCCCTTCCTTCCTGCTCCACAAAATCAATAACTGATTTCTCCCACAAACTAAATAAGTGTAAAGAATGCATCCTTTAGAATCAAAATCCTTGCTAATTTGGCCAGTATCTACTGATGTTATAGATGCTGTACACTGACATTTGGAGTGAGCTGAGTTCACAAAGTATGGTGAGCTCTTATATACTGGAAAATGCATAACAATTTTCAGTCAGTCCTTCCTAGCATGTGCCTAACAATATTGGACCAGACCCTGGACCCCCTTCCATAACTTCTGTGCCTCCCCAGCAGCACAAAAGAGATGGAAAGGCAGAGGAAGCAGGGTGAAATCCCCTTGGAAATAGATATGGAGAATCACACTCAACGTACCTCAGGCAAGGGGTTACATTTCCACTATCAAACATATAAACACATAATTTTTTCAGGAAAAAGGATATTAAACCAGCAGAATTTAATAAACTCAGAAGAGACAAAACAGCAAGCATTCCTGAAAGTTAGACTGTGTTGTTGAGGTTTATAAAGTTGCACATGCCACAGAAAGAGTACATAATGTTAATTTTTATATGTATTATACCTTGCTTGCATACAGCCTCCCACCAGCTAAAGATTACACTTGGTCAGCCAGAAGCCCTTACCTTCTGTCTGTGAGCCATCCAAAGGTGATATTACCAATGATGTCTATGACACCAAGAATGGACATGAGGAAGGCAGCCTGGTGATGGCTCACTCCAACACTCAAAGCATAAGGCACTAGGTAGACAAAAAGAGGGCTGCAGCCATATGCCATAAATAAAATTGACACTGCCAGCACCATGAATCCTGGCATCAGCAAAAAGTCATATTCCTTCCATGAACATTCATGAGGCCATAATTTGATTAAAGGTGAACAGATGGACATTCGCTTTAAGTCTTGTTTCTCTGTTTCCGGGACATAATTCTGTTCAAGCAACTCAGGAGCAGTTTTACAATCCTCCTTAAGAGAAATAGGCCGCATCAAGGCACCACAGACACAGAGGTTTAAAACAAAACCTCCCAGGATGAGCAAAGCTCCTCGCCAGGAAAACTGCTCAATTAAGAGCTGGACCACAGGGGCCAGGATGAAGGTACCAATTCCACTTCCTGACATGGCTATTCCATATGCCAGTGCTTTCCTTCTGTTGAAGTATTTGCCCACCATCGCAATGGCTGGAGAATAACAAAGTGCAAACCCAAGTCCTAGAAGAGAAAGCAAAGTGCAGATGGCTTAATACTAAGCATGACATATGGAACATATTAAAGCAAACCACATAATGTATTTTCATTAGTACAAATGAATAGAAAGCTTTTTCTGATTCTGTATCACGCAGCCCAGTCTAAATGTGATGAGAAACTAGGATGACATCTTTCTTCCACTGGCAGGGTCCCTGACTTGACAAACCTAACTGATGACCATTAATCCACAGTAATAAGACCCAGACAGAAGTGATGGGGTTTACTTCACAGCAAGAACAAGGATGATCACTAAACATGAGAGAACTGGTGTACCAGCCTCTCCTGCATACAAGATGAGGTCTTGCCCCAGGGCCTGCTCCAATGCTGGCACTGGACACGCTGTCCTGATGAGGCACCGCTTTGTGTTTTGGTCTGTTGCAACCCTGAACATTAATTTTCAGGTCTCTGAAACACAGTACAAAGAGCCTGTCTCTGTTACTAATATTCTACAAAAAACCTGTCTTGGTCTGCTAAACAAACTCCTTGCAACAGCTGCTTGGAGTCCTGACCATTTTAAATCCCTGCCTACAAGTAAAGAGGGGAGGAAAGCGTCAGAAAGCCAGATCCAGTTGAGTAAACAAATAAGATTCATCTCTTGGATGGAGAAAAAGATTGTGGACTCTGCTGCAGAATCAGAGAGCAGGTTTTAATCATCAAGTGGTTGCCCTAACACTAAAATATGTATTTCTGAATCAGTAATAGAAATTAGTTCCTGACTAGGGTTTTGGAGCATGTCCTACATTGAGGGTAAAACAGTCCCCAGTGCTGTAACCAGCTTGCCACATCCTCCTCAAAGGCCACACTGTGTGGGGCAGGCACTAAACCTGCCAGGATGGAATAAGAGGATTAGAGGGACTCTGGGCGGCGGGTGCCCAGTCTGGCACGCCTCAGGTGGCGAGGGGACAAGCAGGGCACAGAGCTGGGCTTGGACCTCTACAGGCAGCAGAGCCAGCAGAGCAGCCCTGAGCTAGACATCATCACTCAAGAGCTATGAAAATAATATTTTATTAGGCACACACACCATTTATTTTTCAGTGAGTTGGCAGGGGGAAATAGGGCTCAAAAAAGCCAACAAATGTCCTGTGAAAAGTGGAAAGTTTAGGACTGAAAACTTTTTCCTGCCTCTTAGAACTCTGCTACTTATTGACACTCCTCAGCCTCACCTCTGCTTCACTCTTTGATTTCAAGTCCTGCTGCTTTTATGGATTTAGACATTCACTTGTTGTGGTCCCATCTGCTCTCTGGGTTGGGGGCACCACATCTAGCCTTTACCAACAGTTCACCTCTCTGTTAATCAGTCCCTACAGGCTAAAAGTTCGCTGCTTGTAATGAGCTTGGCTCTTTACTACTCCATGTACAAGTTGTATCTGCTTTTCCACCTCGGTATTCACAGCAGCTCCCACTAAAGAAGCCTCAGAGGTATTAGCATGGTTTGTAGCACAGCCCCTCAAGTTACAAGAAGCCTTTTTATTTGTTATGAACACATTTTGTCAAAGATTAACATTGTAATACAGGAGCAACACGTGCTAAAATAAGGAATTTTTTTTTAAACAAATAAGCTGTTGGCAGCATGTGAACTGCAGTAATTCCACCAACTCGTTACTAAACTCCAGGGGACCAAGTACAAGGTCTTATATCACCGTGGCTACCAGGTCAGTATTAATGAGGAAGGAATGTCAGTGTGACCACGGGCCTCTCTCAAGTTCCTCTGTGCACAACAAACACAGGCAGACAGGACAGAGCAAAGATTTGTTTTCACTATACCTGAGCAAAAATGGAGGAGCTGCTACAGCAAGACTACCAACCAGCAATTTTTTTTGCTGTTCAACTGGAATGTAATGCAGAGAAAAGTAAGGCATACAGCTGAGGTGCCTGGTATTCACCAAGAGCTCCTCTATTCTTACTTACATTTATGTTTTGGTTTAAACTTTTTTCCCAAATATGCAAATATATTAGGGCAATCTAGAACCTCTGCTGTAACAAACTCCTCCCAAATCCCAGACAAAACAGGGAAGCCTTTTCATGTATACCAACTGCAACAGCAGTCCTTCCTGACCTCCCATAATTTCAGAACTTTATCAACAATCCTCTCTCCAACAGAAGGTAAGAGTTGCTTTTGTATTTGTGTGATATGAGATCAGTCAATGCTGAAGCTCTTGCTGGCTCAGCTTTTTGTCTACAATCATGGGAACACATCTGAGCATCTCTGTTTGACCAGTGCAGTGTCAATATGACATGGAGAAGAGATCACCCATCATTTTTAGCGTTCCTGTCTTGTGTTCTGGCAGAAACAAAGGGGCTGAATGCATCCTACCTGTGAGGACTCCTAATGATAAGTAGAGATGTTCCAGACTGGTGGCGAATGAGCTCAAAATTAGTCCAGTAGATGCAAGCAGCCCTCCTAGCATGATACCAACTTGGCAGGATACATGATTACTGATTAAACTCCCAAGCGGGGCTTCAAAGAAACAAATAAAGCTGGTAGTTAATGGCAGGTCCTCAAACACAGTTCACTGCAACTGTTATAAATTAAACGGAAGCAGGAGGAAGCAGGAGAAAATGGTATTTGCAGCTACAGAGTGATCTTCCAACATAACCCTACCACAATGGCATGAGCACCAAATATAAAGAAAAAAATCTAAAAGTAATTTTCCTGAAAGTCAGGATAAACCTGAAACTCACAGTAGCTTTCTCAGCAGCCATTTCTGTAGATCAAAGTCATTATGGAACACAGCTAATGTGCAGTGTCAAGGGGTCAAGACAGGCCACAGGAACAGCCCACACTGTTCATTACTCTGTGCTTACAACACTCAGACTTTTCTCCACCTGGAATTTGCACTTCAGCCCTCAGTAACTTTAAGTGTCCTTCCTCACAACTCCCTGGCCTTGTGGGCTCAGGGTTAGACCCAAACAGGAGAGGTCTCATATCTTTTGGACAATCTCCAGGGCTGCTACCCTTCTCCTGCATTTCTCCCATATCACCCTGCTTCTACCATGGGATGTCATCACCAACCCTCTCCCCTTCTACCACCTGCAATGCCAGGGCAAGGTTACCCTTATTTCTCTCTTTTCCCCAAGATATAACCTGGCTGTCACAGGTGAGTTGTTGCATCTCATTCTGGCTGTGCCATTCTGCCTTTCTAGCAATTCTTATGGATTAACCTCTTCTACAGGACTAGGGCATGGATTTTTACCAAGCTGTACAGCTTTAAATCAAACCCATGAGAAAGTCAGTACAACTGCAACATTGATGCACATGATTTTTAATAATAGCAAATTTTCTTTTAATAGAGAAGACTATTTGTAAATATACACTGTTGATAAAAGGAGGGTGGTTGTGACTTGGTCTGGAGGCAAGATGTACATCCTGTGTTACATCTCAAATATGACTCCAATCAAAAGGCAAAAGAAACAATTGCTCAGTTAATAGCTCTCAAACATGAGGTGTCCCAATAGACCTCAACAAAAGTACATTTCTGAAAAATTAGATCATTTCACAAAACAAAGTTCTGCTTTTCTTTAGTATGAAGACACTCCCTTGCACAACTGTGTTGGGGGAAGCAGCTTGGATATACCATACCCCAGAGATCCCACAGTATCACTCTTTCCCAGCTGACTCCACCAACTTGTAAGCAGGCTAAGAACAGATGAAGCCAATGCAAAAGTAGCCACATTACTCTTAAAAGGGTAATACACACCACAAAGCATCGTAGCACAGTCAACAATGGAGTGGATCCAAGCAGTTCTGGCATAATCCTGCCCAAAGTATGCCTGAAACTCCACAAAAAAAATGGAGATGCACCTAGGACAGAAAACATGAACACCAGTCTGATAAACATGGAAATTTGCCTCAAGGAAAACACTGTGCTCACTCTTCAGGTATAAAAAGTACCCACTTGAAGGTTCTCTCCAGCTCCTGGGAAAATCAAAATTGTGGCTGTGAACATTATAATATCACGTTTCTTGCTGGAGTATCTGCTGCTAGAGATTTTATGACTCATAGTATTTTGAACTAAAAGGAAATTGAAAGGCTAATTCTCCCCAGCAACTTATAGCCCATAAGATGATGTTGCTTCCCTGGCACACAAAGCCCTGGTTTCACAGTTCTTCACTGACCTTGTTGCTCACTATCCCACACCCACACAGAGCACGAGGGTAGGTCAATATAATACCTGCAGAGCAAACCCCACGTGCAGCTGTGTGCTCATGGATGGACAAGCGCAAAGTAACTCCTCTCAAGCGGAGGATCAAAACACAGCAGGAGCCTGTGGACCTTCCAGCAGTTTAATGAAATGTTTCCGGGGGGGTTACTTTGCTCAACTTGACAAGTGTTACTGTTCAGCACGTCCCTGCAGCGCAACAGATTAAAAGGCTGCATAATTTCATTCTCTTTTCTGGATCAACAAGAGATGCCTTTTCCCCCTCTCTTTCTCCCAAGTGAGTGAATGACCACTTTCTTCAGCTTTTTTCCTTGCACATATTTCACTCTTCTATGTACTCTAATGTGTGCCAGCCATTAGATGATTTCCTGGACATAACACATTGCACACATGAACACAGAATTAAATCCACTAGGAATTCTCTGCTGTTATTATGGAATTAGTACATTTGTATGCATTAACTAACACTGTATAAGTGTTTCTATCCTCTTCTGTGCTGATGACTCCAAGACCCTACATCCCTAAAAACTTAAGATCCCTAAACCTGGGAGCTTTATTTTAAAAGAAATAAGAACTTTAGGTAGGAAACACTGTATTTACATTATACTGACTGCCCAACAAGACATTCTTTCAGTTTTTCTCACTTACTAGGGTGCTTAACTCTCTGCTTAATATAGCTAAATTGTCCATGTTCACACACACCAGGCTCCTCTATCTCCAGTCAACATCAAAGTCACTGTGAAAGCAATCTCTTCCCAGATTGCGCTACATTTATGCGAGGCAGCAGTCTAGTCCTGTTCTTTCTATTTTGAGAAAATATTTTCTGCATATTTTGGATACCAGAAGGGTGCAGAGAGGGGCCTCTTCTCTAGGGCTTGGACCTTCTCAGGCAGGACAGTACCTGAAATGCTCACAGTAGGAGAAGGGGGTATTTACATGATTTTCACATTGACTCAGGCGTCACATCAATTTACTGGGACTGGCAAAAATGAGCACGGCTGTGGGGTCAGAGGGACACAGTGAACCCAAAGAGACCCTACATGATTCCTCCCTCCCCAGCCAAACCACCACAGCCTGAAATAGCTCTACCTGCCCCTGGCCTTGCTTCTGTAAGAAATCAAGGAGCGGGTGCTGAAAGCTAGAGCAGCTATCAGAGGAGGCGAGACTAAAGCCAGAAGTTTCATAATCCCTTCGTTGCCCCCACAGCCTTAGGGGTTTTAGGAGATAACAAACCCTCTTACTGAGGGGGAAAAAAAAAAAAAAAAAAAAAGCTAATGCCACAAAGAGGCCAGCAAGACAAGCAGCAGTGCCTTTACCTTGTCACGGCCCTGGTGCAGATGGTGACGAGGAAGCAGCCAGCGACAATCATCCATCCCCAGCCGCCGTCGGGAGGGCCGGCGGGCCGGGCCCGGCGGGCCGAGGCCATGGCGATGGCCGCGCTCCTCGCCTCAGCGGCAGCGCCTGGCTCCGGCCCTCAGGCCCGGCGCGGGCCGGGGCTGCTCGGCACATGGGGCTGCGGCCATCTGCGGAGAGAGACAGCCAGAGTCAGGACACACTGCAGGCGCTGTAACCTGCGCGGCTGGGCAGACATCCTGCCTCAGCTCTCCCTGCCACAGAAAAGGGAGCGCTTTCTTCCACATGCACTTTATGAAAATTTGTTGGAACCAAGAGGGCCATCAGAATTTGAGCCAGCGTCTGGTATCATGCTTTTCATGATAACTTGGGTGGTTTGTCCAGCACTTGCAGCCTGGCACACAGTACCCTCTTCCGCTTGCCTGCAAGTCACTTACTGCTGCCAGTCCTCATTCACCTAGGCAGGCTCCCCCCCTCATCCCATCCCTGGCCTGAACTGTATTTTCAATTGCAATCTCTACTCAAACCAGCTATTCTTCCTTGTGCACAATTTAGTGCAAAAGTTTTGTTTGAGAGAATACAGTTTTCACCTTTGTACGAGAAGGGAATATTTACTCCACAACCAGAGAAGATCTGGTGATAAAATGACCTCTGTATTCTCACAAGCTAAACCCCGGATGAAAGCTGTAATCAGCAGGACACAGCAGCTTAAGTTTGTGAGCATGGACACTTCACAGAAGGTTAGAGCTAGCCTGTCCCTCTCCTAACCACATAAATCAAAACTGTGTCTGCATCCAGGCCATCAAATTGTCTCTAAATGCACACTGGGTGCTGCAGGAGACCCACTGACACCACGGGATGGACCCTAGGTGAGTAACTGAGTCATGTGCTTTGCTAAGGGGACCAAAAAAAAGCCCCCAGTCCTTTTGCATCAGTGACTGAATGGCAGGGCTCAACTGGGGGACCTGAAGTGCCCCAATTTTCTCAGTGCAGGAACACACAGTGCTGGCTGTCAGTGCCAGACTTCAGCCCATGTTTCTGCCATCACCAGCAAGCCCTTAACCTCTGGATGGATCAAAGACTTCTAAGACATAAGCAGAATATCTGGGACGCCTTTCAGTTTTGCTTGAAGAGGAAGTTCAAATATCTTCTATCTCACCTAGCTACAACAGATGCTGAGTATGCAAGATTCCCACTGACAAGAACCACAGGCTTCCCAGGAAGTGTTACCTGTTATGGCAGGTCAGAGGGCTACAGAGCCACTTAAAATGGCAATTCAAGAAAGCAGCTACATGGTTAACAGTGTGCATCCTCAGTCCTTGAAGCTGCTCAGACAAGTAATGCTCAAGGTTTGACTCTGCAAAGCCCAGAGCTTCCTGACGCAAAACAGCAAGACACTCTAGAACTAGCCCTAAACACCCCTACATCTGAACCTTTGAGAAGTGTCCATCAGTGACCTCCTTGAGATATGCAGAGTTGCAGCTCAAAACCAAAACCAGTTATTTTAAGAAAATATATACACACAGCCAAACTCAAAGGTGAGCAAAACAGGGGAAAACAGGTATGACAAACAAAAAGCACAACATGTTGAAAGCTTAGTGATGTAGTTAGGTGGAGTTTGCATAAGCACATGATCCATCACAGGGAGATCCTGGGCACTTCTACAGAGTCTCCGCAAGGAGAAGCTCCTTATTGTGGGTCTGAGCAGTATCTTTCATTGACCCTTCTACAGGATTGAAGGAGGTGGGTTTTTTTGGTTTGGTTTTTTTTGGGTTTTTTTGGGTTTTTTTGGTGGGTCTTGTTGGCTTTTTGTTGTTGTTGTTGTTGTTTTTGTTTGTTTGTTTGTTTGTTTTTGAGGTTTTTTTTCAAGTTTTGATTATTTGGGGTGGAGGAGGAACTTCCAGGAATGCAGGAACGCCAGAATGGAAAAAAATAACCCTTCAATATGAAGAAATACATACAAAAATTTTCAGAGGAGTCAACAATCTCCACATTGTTAGCCCTAACTAATGTTAATGCACAAACAGTAGTAGCTGGGTGGCATGGCCTCAGCCTAGATCTCTGGCCCAACTTCCGAGGCAAGCTTCAGCTCAGGGTTGAGTTCACATTTTTAGCTGTACATTAACGTACTTGGGAAGAATTTGATGACATATCAGGCTAAGTAAACAGAGATTAGGTGTTTGGTTACATGGTTACTTGCTGTTATTTTCCCAGAACCCTGCCAGCAAACATTTAATGAGATTGCAAGCAACTGAAAACAGCCATATTATAAAAAATGCCTGGCCAACAGGAAAATGCCACCCAGCCTCCCTATAGCAGGTTAGTGCAGACCTCATCTCCTTGACTCCCCACTTGCTTCAAGGAGTGCTGTGCCTTTCACAGCCACTGAACTAATAGGTAAGTTAAATAATTGCCTTTCTTGTTGCTGCACAAGTCTAAAAGCACTTATTATGTCAACCTGACAATTTCATTCGGAGGGTAGGAAACTTCATTTGCTTACACCCCAGTGCTGTGTTCTAATTACCTGTATGGTGGATAGTACAGACTGTGGACTCTGCAAATGAAGTTGAACAGCAAGAAAGCACACTTTATCTGAGCAATCATGTCCTCCCCTTTCCCAAACGCCAGTTTGCTCTCATGTTGAATCTTTTTCTCAATCTTTATGGTATAGGATAAGACTATTTTGAATATTTGCTCCACTGTAAGGTGGAGCATTGGCTGCTATTACAACATATCTCAGATGCACATGAAAGTTCCTGCTGCTTGAGACAGCTGAAGGAAAGCAGGGTTAAAATATAATGTCATGAAGCAGCTCTATACTTTGCTAGATAATTTTCACCCAAGCACTAAGTAAATGTGTTTTGTTGTGAGTTCAAAGAAAATGCAAGTGGGGTAAAGATGGTACAAATTTTGCTGATCCTTTAGAGAGCCTGTTACCCAATGTGCCCTGGCAGCTCACTAAACAGTGACTCTGTTCCCCCAAGTTAAAACATTAGGTTTAATTTGGGAGGATAAATATCCTATCAGTTACTTCAGCAGCTGTTTTTGAGAAGCCTAGAAAGAAAGCAAGTGCTCCTGAGAGCACCTCCCTTACTCAGTCACTCAGCAAGCAGAAAGGAGGGGGTGAGGTTACTAAAAAGGCACTGCCATAACCTTGCACCTCATCACAAGGTCCCTTTTGCCAGGAAAAGGAGCACAAAAATCCACGGCAGCTTAGCAACCAGGCAGCACAGCGACAGGAGCCACTGACCTTTTAAACAGCTCATGGCCAGCAAAGCGCTCCCTGCTCCCTCTGCCCACCTCTCCTGCCTCCCTAAAGGTTTCCTTCTTTGGAGTAATTTGTTCAATAATGATATCACAACAATGTGAAGATGCAAAGGATTCGTATGACAAAGGACAGAGGAACAGCAGGTACAGTCACTGTGGCCTGCCTGGGGACCAGGGCTGGCGTTTTTCCTACCTTGTTCACCTGCTCCATTTACAGCACTGGCAACTCCCTCATCTCAAGAAATACCACCTCCAGTGCCTGACAGCTTGGGTGCTTTTTGAAAATGCTCCATTTGTAGAGGGATACAGCTTCAGCCAGAGGAACAGGCATAGGGTGAGATTTGTATCACAGCTGCCCACAGCAGGAACACACTGATCCCAGACCATAGTGGGGGTCCCACTCCACTACTTTCTTATTCTTCACCCTATCCTGATTATACAAAATCAAAATGGCTCTGTGTGTTTAGATGCCTTTGCAATTTCTTTCAGAAATGCATGGAAGGATTCTGTGCAGTATATCCCAACGGAGCTGACCCAAATATGTATCAGCAGCATAAAGCACAGAATCCAACATTTCCTTTACCTGTTCCATAATGCAGAGATGTACATGTCAGAAAAATGAGAAAGAGACTTATCTAGAATTTTCTTTCTGGACCAGCGTGAGACATATCCAAAAGGTTAAACTGTATGTGCCATTTGCTGCCTTTACCATGAAGATGGGGTGCGAGAGGCCTGAGAAGCCTGTGACAGTCTCTGTGCCCAGAACGCCAGGACATGCTTCCAGAACAGGTTCATATACACCACTGAATTTAAACTGTACTTCTCTGGTCAGCAACAACACACACAGCTTTCAAAGTCACTCTAAGAACATTCGTGCAGATGAATTTTATGAAGAACAAGTATAAAGCAGTTTGAGCATAGATGGAGAAGATTCATTAATGCATGAAAGGTAACAGAATTGCATATATTTACTACATTTGATCTACACACTTAACTCTAGGGCTGTTTACTATATTCTTGTATTTACCCTATTCACATAGCTCTAGGCCAGATCTTCTGACTTTCTTTTTCTTCAGATTGCACCAAATATTATTTCTAGGCACTAGCCACATTCATGTTGACCTCCTGTTTTAATACTCTCTCGCGTTCTTTTCCCTTTGACTGCTGCATCTTCAATGAAATGAAAATGAAATAAACTAAAGAACTATGAACAAAAGAAAAAACAAAAAAAGGTGTGGTATGAATATCAAAGACAGAAGAGGAAGAGAGAAGAAGGAAAAAGCTAGCTAACAAAAATATGTGTGTTCTGCGGGACAGTGGGGCATAAGATTAAATATTTTACAGGTTTTGAAAGAGTTCATTTCTTTTGCGTGTCTTGAAGGATCAAGGATGACCACATCTGACCACTGACCAGAGTCCTTCCCAGAAGTTGGCTAGCTACATTAACTTATACAGTGGAGCACATTTAAATGAGGCATGGCATTTGATATGAGCACAGATGATGCAGACAGCTGCAAAATCTCTATTGACTGGTCTAGTCAGGAAGAAAAGAAGATACTCTTTTTGGGTTTTTTTCCTGTTTGGAAAAAAACAAGACATTGTTTCAGCCTCTTTTGCTTCCCCCTATTTCCACACTAGCAATTGGATATCATGGTAGTCACTACAGTCAGCACTCTGGCAGGCAGCTAAATTCTAAATTGTTCTTAAATATATGGAAAATAAAGACTTCAATTCTGAACAGCTCTTGGGATGCAAACACTATTTCTAATCTAATCTATTTTCTCCAGTCAACAGCTGTCCCCTTCTGCACCCTGAGTTAGCTATTTAACTCAAAAAGAACAGCTTGTTTTGATTTGAGTAGAGTCTATTTATCAAGAACTATATGATTATGACTTTGACTTGT